TCTTCCATGGCAGTAGGAGAGCAAATGGGCAAGTGCCGCACTTTTCAACCATCAAATCTTGTGACGACTCACTCACTACTACAATAAAGGAAAGAGGAAATCCACCCTCATGATCTAATCACCTTTTACCAGGCCCCTTCTCTGACAAGCAGGGATTACAATTTTAGATGAGATTTGGGTGAGAACACAGAGCCAAACCATATCAGGTATAAACTATGAACTTCAGTTAATAATAATATGTCAATATTGGCTCCCCAACTAACACAAAGTTATCACACAGGTGCAAGGTGTTAATAATAGGGGAAACTCTGGGAGGGAAGGGAGTATGTGGGAACTCTGTACTTTCTGCTCAATTTTTCTATAAATCTAAGACTGTTCTGAAAAAAAGTAAAGCCTATTAACTTAAAAAAAATAGAAACTGGAATAGAAAAGAAAAAGCCACAGATAATTTTAATATATGAAAGATATGCTGCAAAGTACTCTATATTTTGGCCACAAATTGGTTTTTGGATTTCCCAGAGGCTAATATTAATAGAGGAAGAGAACCTGAAAAAAAACAACTACAAACCAATTGTTCATATAAGATATTATATATGTGATATTGTGCTGGCCTAGAGCCAGAACCTGAGCAACACTATTTTACAAAATGCAAAACTATTTTTAAATAAGTTGAAGTGGCTGCCCCATTCTCCTCACAATAACTACTGTCCTTGGCCTCTGTAAATAGAACTGCTAGTTTGTTCTGCAAAACTATGTAAAGCTGCTTACCTTTTCTTATCAGTAACTGCTAAAATCTGTGACTTCTATCAGCACCCAGACGATGTGTAAACAAATGTATATCTTGACTTCTGTAAACCACTGAAGTAACAAACAGAATGACAAGAATCCCCTATCCCTTGAAATGTCTGAAACCTTTTCATCCCCATCCCCGCCCCTCACCCCCACTCCCCACCCTTGAATCCACCCAGGAGGTGAATCACAGAATCCCCTATCCCTTGAAATGTCCGAAACCTTTTCATCCCCATCCCCGCCCCTCACCCCCACTCCCAAGGTGGTTTTTCGGGTATAAAAAAATCGTGGCACCCTCCTTTTGCACCACAGGCTGGAGAGACGTGAGTCCTCTGTGGTCGCCGGCATAATAAATGACCCTGCAATCTGGCATACTTTTGTCTTGGTGCTAGCTTTCTACGCTCCGGTCAAATACAACATATAGACCATGTATACCACAACACAACAAACCAAGAGTCTTTTATCTTTCTAATCACCCTCTAACCCTGAGCATCTAACATCCATAGGCATACTACTTGAGATGTTGACAGTAGAGATAATGTTCTTGGATCACTTAGCTCAGGGTGATGAGAGAAGCAAGGTATTCACCTGGCTCCCTTTGCCCCCCTGGCATGCATTTTTGTGACTGGCTTTAATAGCAGAAACAAATCACGCCTTTATGTTTATAATTTTCCAGTTTATTAACACCTGAGAAAGCCTTGTATTCTGACGAGCTTTGAAATGTCTTATTAGAATTTACCTGCTGATAGGCAAACCCAATACCTCTCTCAATTGACATTAACAAGGGAATCCTAAATAAATGAGCTCAATTTATAAATAGACTATCTTTTAAGGCACTGACATTTACAGAAATATGTTTTAAAATCAAAATGCCTCTTTACAGTGGGCAGAAATAGACAGACTCATAGCTAAAATAATGATATTTGCAATCCTGTTCTTACCACCAACACCCTGCTCCATCCAAACCTAGACTACTACAGCAATGTCTGAATTGGCCTTTCTGTCTCTAGTCTCAACATTTTCCAAGCAGTGCTTCTTAATTTTTATTATGAAATGTAACACATGAATAGATAAATAAAATGCAAATGTACAGCTTCAGGAGGCACCCAGGTGAAGAACCACAACATGACCAGCTCCCTTCCAATCACAATACTTTCTCTACCTTAAAGGTTACCATTAACTTAACTTTTGAAATAATCACTTCCTTCCTTTGCTCTATTAGTTTGCCATTTCCATCTGTATCCTAAATAATACAGTAATATTTTTGTTTTGGAACTTTACATGAAAGAATTCATACATTTCTTTCAGTATCTAGCTTATTTTATTCAATAATATATTTTTAAAATAAGCTATATGACTATAGATAGCTATAATTCCTTCATTTTAGTGCTGCATTGCATTCTATTATATGGCTATACTACAACTGATCTATCCTTTCTAATGCTGATAGACATAAGGATTGTTTCTGCTTTTTGACAATTATGAACAATGCTGCTATGGGCATTTGTGAATATGATCCTGATATACCTAAGCATCTCTTTCTACAGGGCACATGTCAAGGAGTATAGGTATAGTCAATAGGTATGAACATTTTCAACTTACCTGAGAAGTATTAGACTGTTTTCCAAAACCAGCATCCCAATTTACACTTTTATCAGCAATAAATGGCAGTTCCTGTCTTTGAGCATTCTTTCCAGCACTTGGAATTGAACTTTTTCATTTTAGCCAATCTGATGAATACATAGTGTTATCAAAGTTCCAATTTGCATTTCCCTGAGTAACAATATGCATATATGTCTTTTCATACATTACTTGGTCATTTAGATATCCTATTTGTAATATGCTTATTTAAGTCATTTTCCATTTTTCTATTAGACAATATGCATTTTTACTATGAATTTGAAGATGTTTTAAAATATATTCTAGATGCAAACCTTTTGTTTGTTACATAAAAAATAAAAATATGTTACATGGAATATGCAATAAGAATGTTTTCCTATCCTGTGGTTTGCTGTTTGCCTCTCATTATTTGTATTTTGGTAAGCAAAAGATCTTAATTTTAATGTAGTCCAATATATTAAACCTTTAGAGAGGATTTTAACCCATGCACTTATGGCCAGTTAATAAACTCATGCATTTATGGACAATTGATTTTTGACATAGGTTTCAAGAATATACAATGAAAAAAAGATAGTCTCTTCAATAAGTGGTACTGAGAAAACTGAGTATCCACATACAGAAGAGTGAAATTAGATCCTTTTCTTACACTATGTGGACAAATCAACTTGAAATAGACTAAAGACTCAGATATAAGACTTGAGGCTGTAAAACCACTACAAGGAAACATGCTCCACATTGGCCTGGGCAGTGATTTATATGTATATAGAAAACACTGAAAACACAGGCAACAAAAGCAAAAATGGACAAATGGGATAGCATCAAACTAAAAAGCCACTGCATAGCAGATGAAACAATTAACAGAGTGAAGAGACAGTCCACAGAATGGGAGAAAATATTTCCAAGTCATGCACCTGATAAGAGGTTAATAGCCAAAATACATAAAGAACTTAATCAACTGCATAGCAAGAAAACTAATTACCCAATTTTAAAAATGGGCAAAGGACCTGAATAGATAGTTCTCAAAAGAAGACATACAAATGGCCAACAGGTTCATGAAAAAACGCTCAACGTCACTAATCATCAGAGAAATACAAATTAAGACCATAATGAGATATCACCTCATATCTGTTAGAATGGCTATTACCAAACTGAGGAAAGATAAATGTTGGCAAGGATGTGAAGAAAAGGAAACCCTTGGACCCTGTTGGTGGAAATATAAATTAGTATAGCCATTCTTTAAAATGGTATGGCAGTTCCTCAAAAAGCTTAAAATAGAGCAACCAAATGATCTAGTCATCCCACTTCTGGGTATATATCCAAAGGAACTTAATCAATGTCTAAGGGATATCTGTACTCCCATGTTCATTGCAGCATTATTTACAATAGTCAAGATATGCAATCAACCTAAGTGTTTTATCAACAAATGACTGGATAAAGAAAATGTGGTGTATATACCCAGTGGACTGATACTCAACCCTATAAAGAAGGAAATCCTGTTATTTTCAACAACATGGATAAACCTGGAGGACATTATGTTAAGTGAAATAAGGTAGGCACAGAAAGACAGACACTGTATGATCTAATTTATGTGGGATCTAAAAAAACCAAACTCACAGAAGTGTAGAATAGAATGATGTTTAGTGGAGACTTGGGGGTGCAGGGAAGTAAGGAGGGAATAGGGAAATATTGGTCAAAGAGTACAAAGTTTCAGTTAAACAGGAAGAATCAGTTTTTGAGCTCTATTGCACTGCAAGGTGACTATAGTTAATAATAACATATTATACATTTCAAAAAACCTAAGACAGTAAATTACAAATGTCTCACCTCAAAAACAGGTGATATTCTAGTTAGATTGATTTAGTAATTCCCCTTTGTATACGTATATCAAAATATCACATTACATACCATAAATATATATAATTGTAATTAATTAAAATATTATTAATAAAAATCAATTACTAAAATATATAAATAAAAGTAGTTAATATTGTGTTTAAAACAAATACATCAGTCCTTTATTTTATAGTTAGAGCTTTCTGAATCTTGTTTTTCCACACCCTGAAGTCTTGAAGGCATTCACCTGTATTACCTTCTAAAAGCTTTACCACTTTTCCATTCACATTTAGATCTATGACTGCTTAGAATTATATTTTATATATAGTGTGAGAAAAGGGTCCTATTTCATTTTTTTCCTTTATGGATATCAAATTGTCCTGGCATTATTTATTAAAAATATAGCCTTTTCACAATAGGTATATATACTTACATACTGATACACATACATAAATAAATATCTGGGTCATATCTTCTCTCCCACTGGTCTTTTTTTCAGTCTTCTTGCCAATATCACACTATCTTAATCATTATAAATTTACAAGTCTTGATAGTGAGTAGGCCAAGTTTTCTCAAGTTTTCTTTTTTTCTTCAAAGATGTCTTAAATATTCTGTCTTAAATTTAAGTATCCTTTCTTTTTCAAGGATGTCTTAACTATTCTCAGTCTTTTAATATTACTATTTTTAGGTTAATTTTAGAATAAGTTTGTCAGGTCCTGGAAAATACCTGACTGGTATTTTGTTTTGTTTTGTTTTCATGTCAGATGGGTAACGTGCCTACATTGTAACAAGGTTTGAGGGAGGCAGGTCTCACACATGAGGGTGAAAACTCACTCATCACTTAAAAACTACAAGAGAATCTGCCTGGTAGTTTGACTGGGATTGCACTGAGTCTACAGATGCATTTGGAAGAACCAGCATCATCTTCATACTCCCCGTGAGCTTGAAAAATAATATGCACTCTATCGTTGTTGAGTACAGACCTCTACATGTGGACATTAAGTAGTTTTGTTAGTCATGCTGTTCAAATTGTCCTAATTATTAATAATTCTTGTCTGCTGTTTCTGTCAATTACTGAGAGAAGCATCTTATCATATTCCATTATAATTATAGGTTTGTATATTTCTCTTTGTAGTTCTACCAATTTTTTATTTATATATTTTAATCATATTACTAAAAGAATGAAAATTAAAAATGTCAATAAAGCCAGATTTTTTTAAATTCAAAAGCAAAGAACTAGCAACTTTAAAAAGTGGCAACAGACTTGAAAAAAATCTAGAAGTTCTAGAATTGAGGAAAAGGACAATAGCAAAAGTTAAGAATTCAATGGATGGCTTTAATCCCAAATTAGATACAGCAGAATTATTAAACTAAAAATTAGGTTAAAACAATCTATCAAAATGAAGTATGGACACCAGACAACAGGATGGAAAATGCAAAGAAGTAGGT